AACCCAGAAGGGTCACTGTGTGACCTCCACCAGGGCCTGGCCCTACTTGAACTGGGTCTCTGCCTGTGACAGCCAGAACCGCCTGGATAAAGAGGTACGATTCCGAGGCTCCCTCCAGCGGTCGGGAGGTAGAGTAGAAGTGGCCTAGAGACTCTTGGAGGCTACCTGCAAGCACAGAGGGTGGGAGCGGGGAGTCTCCAGGTCCTAGTGCACGCCCACCCCCAGGCTGAGATTTTTCCCCCCCCCCCCACACATGGCAACCACAATCCGAAGCTCATCTTCTCAGTAAGAGGTCTGTCCTGCCCATAAGCAGACCTGCATGGGGTGGGGGTGGGGGGGGAATAATAGATGTAAAATGGCTCAGAGAATAAGGCGCAGGCAAATCGCATTCCCTTCAGGCTAGGGGTTTGGATATGAATTCTTCCGTAAAAATTACCCTGGTGAAAGTTCTACAGAGCTACAGTGGCTTGAATTAGTGTATCCCATGTATGGAAGGTTTGGTCCCAGTTTGGTGCCACTAAAAGGTGATGGAACCATTAAAAGGGGGGCAGTGATTTGAACTAGAAAAGCCCATCATCCACTTCCAACACTGCACCCCTCCAGCCAGGGTCTAGCCTCAAAGTCCTCCCCCACAGAACATCTTTTTCCTTGCCTCCCTTCCTCAACCAAGGTAGCCTTGCTGTCTCTCCTTGGTGTCAGAGGAGAGACAGACACCAAAAGTCCCCCCAGGGCAGTGGATTCACACTTTTGAACCTGGACCGAGGTCATCCTGACCCATTACTTCCCATCACTCCTCACCTCCCAGTTAGCATCAGAGCTTCCAACCCATCCAGAGAGGTTAGGCCCCTGCTCAGGCCTAGTTCCCCACAAATACTGAGTCTCTGTGTCACACGATGAACAACTGGCATTCCCCCCCAAGTCAAATGTCCCCCAACAGACAGGGTCGGGCCCTTAGAACTCTAAGGTGGTGGTGGGGATGCAGTGAGGGAGGCCCAGCACAGGTATTTACTAACTGGTGAGGTTTTAAGTTAGTCTGGTGGCAAAGAGAGAGCTGGGGTAACCCAGGTGAAAGAGAAACAAGACTCCCTTTAGCCCAAGAAAAGCAAACCTGTAGTGTGAATTTTAATTGGTCTTGATATTAAACCCCGAGTCAGATATCGGGGCAAATGCTGAAAGATCAGAGAAGTAAAGGATCAGCCACTAGAGAGACTTTTTACTTCCACCGAATCCTCAGACCAAAGGGGTGAGGTTCTGTTTCCACCTCCCTAGCTGGGATTAAAGGCATGAGATCCCAAGTACTGGGATCAAAGGACCAGACTGCCTGGCCTCTATGGTTAACTAGCTCCACCCTCTGATCTTCAGGCAAGCTTTATTTGTTAGAGCACAAACAAAATATCACCACAAGAATCTCTGGCTCTCCAGACGTGGGCTGATGAACCAAGGCCATTAGTACTTGTTCTGGCCAGCTGGTCCCAGCGATTTCTCCTCCTAGGCCCTAAGACCCAATCCCACCATCTCTCTGAGCTATCAAGCCAGTGTCCCGATGCAGTTCCCTCCAGTCCTGGGGTAAGGAGTGTCCCTGGAAAGTGCTTACTTACCCCATGAGTGTAAAAATGCTCTCTGCATATCTGGGAGCCAAAACCTCTTAGCTGGAACACGGAACAAAGCCTGTTTCCCCAGACTCAGCCAGTCAGATGCTAAGGGTAGAGGTGCATGGTAATTCACCCTGTCCCCAAATGCCCTTTTGCCACTTTGACTGACTTATTTATGAGGCAGAGTCTAGAACTGGAGGAGCACTTGCCTAGCATGTACCAGGACCTTGTTGGATTTCCTTAAAGGCGGTGTGGCACTGGGAAAGCTGAGGCTGGAGGATTGCGGCAAGTTCAAGGCCAGCCTGGGTCACAGCAGAAAGATCCCTGGTCTTAAAACAATTAAAAGCCAAAGACAATGTAAACAACCAGGACTGGCGAGGCGGCAAGGTGGGACAGGCATTCACCAACAAGGCTGACAGCTAGAGTTTGATCCCTGGGACTCATGTAGTGGGTGGACTGGGCTGATGCCCAAGTCATCCTCCTGCCTCCACATCCATGCCATGGCATATGCGTGTACCCACACACGGAGACAAAATAAATAAACAAGTGTGCAAAAGATACCACCAACAAAAAGCTGCCGTCTTGCTCCATTGTCCTGGGCTGGTGTCAAACGCTTGAGGACCCAGCCTCAGCCTCCTGGGCAGCTGACCAAAAGTATGTGCCCCACACTTGGCGGGTTCCCTTTGCCTTTTCACATTTTGAACTGCTGGGCTCGGGTACAACTCCAGAGTAAACTGATCACCTTGCATTCAGAAAGACTTGAATTCTACCCCCAGCCTCACAAAGAAAGAATTAACTATGTGTCTGTGTAACCTACCTAACCAGTATATAGGCAAAACCACTATAAAAGCCAGACATGATGGGACCTATCAGTAATCCTAGCACTGGGGAGAGAGTCAAGAGGACTGAACTTTAAGGTCATCGGTAGGAGCATAATAAGAATCTGTCTTGGAAAACAAGATAATAACAACAATAAGAGAAAGAGCCAGGCAGTGGTGGCACATGCCTTTAATCACAACAGAAGGGGAACAGAGGCTGGTGGATCTCTGTGAGTTCAAGGTTAGCCTGGTCTACAGAGTGAGTTCAAAGACAAGACAGCCAGGGCTACACAAAGAAACACTGTCTGGAAAAACTAAGAAAAGAAAGAAGGAAGGAAGGAAGGAAGGAAGGAAGGAAGGAAGGAAGGAAGGAAGGAAAAGAAAGAAAGAAAAACAGGTTTTTAGAAAAAGGTTTTTCTCTGTAACTTTGGAGCCTGTCCTGGAACTCGCTCTGTAGACCATGCTGGCCTTGAACTCACTGAGATCTGCCTCCCAAGTGCTGGGATTAAAGGTGTGCATCATCACTACCCAGGAAGAAAAACTTTTAGTGTCTGTGTATACCTTCTTGTATGTCTGTGTACATGCCCGAAGAGGCCAGAAGAGGGCGCCTGATCTCCTGGATCAGAAGGTGAATACAATTGTGAGCAGCCAAGTGGGTGCTGCAAATTGAACCTGGGTCCTCTAGAAGCTCAATCAGTGCTCTTAACCCTCTAACCCCCCAAAAAACTTTATAAATACTGAAGTACATAAACGGGAGCTTGAGACTCACAATAGAATACACACAAATCCTGGAGAAAATATCACAGTGAGAGGATCCAAGTGTAATGCCGGGGCAGTGTTCTGTGGCAGCCAGCCCAAGGACCCACTGTAGCAGGACTGGGGAACACAGAGGGAAGCTGGGGCCTCCCTCATTCTTAGAGACCAGTTCTGCCCACCAGCTCCCTGCCCAGGTTGGGCCCTCTGCTCCCAGTTCACTGGCGCTCTTATGGTCTAGGCCACCTAGGATACTGCCAGCATTAACCCATTATTACCAAGTCTCCTCCCCTCTGGGAGCAGAACCTCATTTCTAACTTCCCAGGGCGGGTGCCAAGGCACTGTGGGCTCAGCAGTAATGAGACCGACAAGAAAAGTGAGAGCCGTGTTTCCGTAGGAGAGAACTCTCAAGTACCTCCCAACAAGCCAGTGGTACAAGTAGCTCTGGCTCCTGGCCAGGTCCGAGGTCCCTGACCCAAAGCATCCTTCCGAATGGACCGGAAGTGCGGCCCCATCCTGCCAGTTGCGCAGGAAGTGGGGAGAGGCTGTCAGAGAAAATCTGCACTACTGCCCCTTAGTACATCCGTCTCCACAAAAAGAGAGACCACTGGTTCTAGTCTCGATATCCCCACAGACATTTGTCACTCTTGTTTCCTTTCTAAAGTGATGAGGTGACGCCCCCGGAACCAAAGTAACCCAAGATTTGTCCTCCACGGTGGGGCGAGGTACTCCTCAGCGGTGCTTCCCAAAACTCCCTTTCCCCACAGAAGGACTGGGCAGTGGGAGGAGGTCCTCACCCCTGAGCTCCCCCATGTCTCTGAAGGGGGTCCATCATCCCACTTAATGTAAATTTCACTCAGAGAAATGGTCCTGAGATCGTTCCCTTCCTCCCCTTTTTTTCTGTCTATGGCTGCATGTCCAGGACCTGGAATGACACCACCACACTCAGACTCAGAGTGGGCCCTTGGAGGAAAACCAGCCACCAAGTAACAGGAGGAAGACAAAAGAGCCCCAAGCAAGAAAAAAAAAATAAAAGGTATGAAAATAGGCTTAGCTGCTTTGGGGTTTTCCTTTGTATTTATTTTTAGCAAGGATTGTGTGCCTAGCTCTGCATTAAAATAGCTGATGCTACCAACCATTGTTCCCAGGACCTGTGCGCGCAACCCAGCAGGTTTCTGCAGCCCAAAGGGAGGGCAATGCGTTTCCTGGCTCACCCAAGCTGAACCCAGTGCGAGTGTTTCACGGGCCTTCTCCTCGTAGCACCTTCTGGGTGCGAAGGAAAACAGAAGCCGAAAGAACGCTTTAGACAAGGCTGAGAGCTGAGGAGGCAGCCATGCTTGTGAACTCAAGCTTCCAGAACGCACCTCCTGCTGACCGTTTTCAGGGAGAGGTTGAAATGTGCACGTGACTTAACACCTGGGACCCCAAGGAGACAGAAGAGAGGCCACCACTGGTGGGTCTCCCACTCCGTTTGGGACTTGCCTTTGAGGATTTTTTTCCCCAGGAGACTATAGGGAAGACTTTCTAGTTGACAAACCCTACCTTAAGATACCAAATTTTGTCAGAGCCTCCTCTCAGGCCCACTGGAGCAGGCCATCTGGGAGGCACACGTGAGCTCTAGGCTACCAAGAGACCCTGAAGGTTGGAAGGGGGAGGCTTTGAGACACTACCTTTGTCCTGCCATGTCTCAGTGCTGGTGACCTGGTGGCAGTGCCCTCCATGCAGAGCTGGACAGAGTCCCTAGGAGCACAGAGTAGGAAGAATGCCATAGTGTCTGAGAAAAACAGTGTAACGTAGGAACGTAATTAAATTCATTCTCGGGGTCAGTTAGCACTCGATGTGCTCAGGTCAGAAGCCAATACTCCAGGTCAGTCTTATCTACATAAGCCCCAGCGGCGTTACAAACTCAGGGTTTTACAAAATGATTTATGTCCCACGTGTGACTAGATAAAAAGGCTGAGCTGGCACTCTGCTCCGAAAGAGCTTCTGCAAATCCAGCAAGCTCCGGGTGGGTCCTGCGGTTCCCTGTGCTGAGGAGTCTGTTGGCCGCTACCATAAGAAAACGGCTGCCCTTCCTTCTAGGAGCTCCTGTCTCATATACGGGACCTTGCGGTGGTAACAACACTACGACCTCCACTGGGCTAGTCACTTAACTACTCTTGGGCTCTAATTTCTGCGTCTGTGATCGGAGATAATGACAGCCATGCAAGGTGGTGGCGACGAGCCCACAAGCTTTCAAATATCAAATTTCTGCTGCAGCGCCCTGCGGCTTTTACCATAGCAAGGTCAGAACCAGGGTCCCAACCTCTCCAGGGCCCTGAGGCTCGTGGTCTCCTGCTCTCCGAGGGCGCCTGCATCCCGGACCAGCTTTCTTGGGGTCGGGGGGAGCGCAGCCTAAGCGCAGGCCTCCAGTTGACCCACAGTCCTCTCCCAGCCACGGATTTCCCTAGTCCCTCTCCCATCCCCCTCCTATGTCCCAGCTCTTGGTTTCGTCTGGGCCTCGGGATCCTCCGGGTCCCACCGCTCGCTGCTCGCGGGCAAGCCGCCGGGCTCCGGCGCCTCGAGCGTTGGAGCAGGTCCTGCTCCCGCCGTGGGAGTGGGGACCTAGGGGGCTGCCCCTCCAGGTCCTTGCCTTGGGCCAGCGGTGGACACTGGACACTCGGTAGTAGGAGCCGCTGCAAGGTACGCCCTGGCCCCGCCCCGGCGCGGAAAGCTGCTGCCAGGAATTGGAATATTAATAGGTACAAACTTCCTGGAAAGATTTTCGTCTTCGCGGTAGATGACCCCGCCTTGGCGGCCTTAAGAAAGAAAAAGCCTCCGGGGGCAGGCGGCAGGGAGCCTGGGACCTACAGGAATCGGGGACACTTGGGACCCTTGGAGTCGCTGGGGAGCATTGGTCCGGGACCCAGTCGGTGGCTTGTCGCAAACGCCACGGGGCGAGGCCGGGCTCGCGTTTGTAAGCCAGGTCCCCAACGGTGGAGTCCGGACGCCTGAGCGCGCGCCCCCAGGAGCGCGCGCACACTGAGACACCGGGCGCCCTTCTGCAGGGGCCGGGCTCCTCCTCCCGGGTAGGTTTCTCTGTCCTCTGGTCACTTAGCAGCATCCAAACAGCCCTGCTGCTGCTGGTGCCATAGGTGCGCGACGTTCCTTCCTTCAGAATTCTCTGGCCCAGACGCAGTTGTGGTTAAAGCCACCTCACTCCCTCCCAGCCGCCAGAAGAGGACAGATCGATCAGGAAGCGCCCTTCCAGCCGCTGCCGTCCCTGCCCTCACCTTGCTAATAAGTCAGATTCCAATGCCCACGTAGGAAGCTCACTCCACATACAAAGGCTGGGGTTCTCGAACTCGGGGTTCACTGCTTCGGACAGGAGCACCTGTCCTGAATTGATTGAGAGTGTTCTGCCCATCTGAAAGTCATCATTCATTGAAAATATTTTCGATGCCAGGTGTAGTGGCAAACTTGTAATTCTGCACTCTGGAGGCAGAGACAGGAAGATCGCCCAAAGTTAAGTCCTTGACTTAAATACAAATTATTGCTACAAAGCAAACCCAAAGGTCTTCCTTTGTTGTTGTTGTTATTTTTGTTTTTTGAGACAGGGTTTCCCGTGTAGCCCTGGCTACTGTCCTGGAACTCACTTTGTAGACCAGGCTGGCCCAGAACTCACAAAGATCCGCCTGTCTCTGCCTCCCAAGGGCTGGGATTAAAGGCAAGTGGATCTAAGTTCGGGTCTACTCTGGTCTGCAGAGCGAGTTCCAGGACAGCCAGGGCTACACAGAGAAACCCTGTCTCAAAAAATATAATATAATAAAAATGCAAATGTGAAACACACACTAAGGGCAGAGGCGATGAAAGTTCAAGAAGGGAGAGGCAGGAAGAAGACAGAGCTGTGTTTGTAGCCATGTTTAAGGCTGGGTTTGGGACAGGGTGCTTGGGAAAGAGCAAGCCAGCCTCGCAGGCTCATTAACTTCGATTAATACAGGCCTTGCTGGTTCCACCAGTGGCATCGGATTCAGGAGGCAGTTTGGGGCATGCTGGATGTGAGGCACTCATTGGTCATCCAAGGGTAGGGTTGAGAAAATACTGGTCGGACAGGTCTCCACGCAGAGATGGGGGCGGGGCACGGACACCTGGGAGACAGTGAATGAGCAAGCACACACCTACCGGTTCTGAACTGGCTACCAAAGGAACCACCAGCCCAGCCAGCCACCTGCCCTTCTGGAACTCATGACTTTACAGAAATTGTTTAGATAGGGTCTTACTACGTAGCTCTAGCTGACCTGGATCTCTATCTGTAGATCAGGCTAGCCTTGACGGCAAAGACCAGCCTGCTTCTTGTTAGGTTTCAGACTCCTCCTGATTTATTTTCTCCATTCACCTTTGTCTCCTGAGGGCTTGGATACCAGTCTGAACTAATTTTTTTTTATTTTAATTAATTTAAATTGAAAAACTCTGACTCGGCTGTTTGAAAATCTTTATTGTGGCTAGAACAAGTAGAGTATAGACATCTGCCTTTTCAGCTGCAGAGCTGGTGAAATCTGAATGCAGACCAGGAACACTTTTCTATCCAGATGTCCCACTAATTTTAAAATTTTCAGTTATTATTGAGGCTGGAGAGAGGGCTCCGTGGTTAAGAGCGGTCTCACTGCTCTTGCAGAAAGCTAGCTTGTTCTCAGTACCACGCCGGGTGGTTTGCAGTTGCTTGAAATCCAGCTCCAAGGGACTTCTGTGCTTTTCATTTCACGTGTATGGGTGTGCTGCCTGTGTGACTGTAGAGGGCATGGAACCCTCTGGGTCGGCCAGTCCCAAATCCTCAATAACTCCTCCTCCTCTCTTTTTCTTCTTGTTTGGTTTTGAGGCAGGGTTTCTCTGTGTAGTCCTGGCTGTCCTAGAGCTCATTCTGCTGACCAGGCTGGCGCAATTCACAGAGATCTTCCTGCCTTTGCCTCCTGGGTTCTGGGATTGAAGGTGTGAGCACACGCACAGCTAATTAGGCTATGTGAGACTGAAGGTGAGCCGGGAGTGGGACAGCACACGCAGGCGGCAGAGGCAGGTGGATCTCCATGAGGCTAGCCTGGTCTACAAATGGAGTTCCGGGACAGTTTAGGGCTGTTACATAGAGAAAGCCTGAGTCGGAAAATAAAAACATAAAAGACTGAAGGTGAAAGCTGAGTGTGTTAGGGTGGGTCAGTGCTGTGTGTATCAGGATCCGGCACAGAGACGTCAGAAAGGGCCTGATTCAGCCTGATTCCTAAATAACAGGAATTCTGGTGTGTGGTGCGAGAGAATTATCTGTATTCTGTCAATCATGTATTTTAATAAAACGCTGATTGGCCAGGCAGGAAGTATAGGTGGATCAACCAGACAGGAAGTAGAGGCGGGGCAATGAGAATAGGAAAAGGCTAAGGAGGAGAAAGCTCCCTTTGCCACTTGCCACTCCTGCGCAGACCACCGAAGAGGCAGTATGTAACTTGCCCAGCTGAAAAAGGTACCAAGCCATATGGCTAATGTAGATAAGGATAATGGGGTAGTATATGTCATAAGAACTAATAAGTAGCCTGACCTAATGGGCCAATCTTATGGAGTCCTGTGTGTGATTTTCCTTGGGGTATGTCAGCAGTGGGGTACCGGATGGAACAGAAACCCCAACAAGCCGGCCCACATGCTACAGGTGTGTGTGTGTGCGTGTGTGTGTGCACATGTGTGTGTGTGTAACCCAGGGTTTCATATAAAAGGAGAAGACACAGAGCCATAAGGAATAGGGTAGCTGGGTAGGGAAGGAGACCAGGCTCTTGGGACATGCCTTTCTCACTATCCATTCATTATTAGCCCCAGGGATCCCCCAAGGATGGGGCTCTTGTGTATCTTTGCAGATTTTCCTGTTAAATCTAACACAATCCAAAACCTTCCGACTATCCGAGCAGATAGTGGTGCTTCTCATTGCAGGCTCCAGAGATGGCCAGAAGCAAGGTGGAGAGGCCAGATGCCTGCTGCTGTCCCCAGGCCTTGAAGCTACCTTTGCCTGCTGCTTGCCATGCAGCATGTCTCTAGGGGAACCAGAAGCCAGGTTGAACAAGTCCCAAGCTGTCCCTGTCTGCATGGGAGACTCTCTGTTGCTCTTGGCCCTCCGGTACCCAGACAGGGTGTGTGGCCAAAAGCGTGGACTGCTCAGGTGTTCCAGGGCCTCTGAGTGGCAGGCCCCACATGTTGCTATCTTGCTTCATCTCCACTTCAAACCCCACCCCGATTCTGCTCTGTTCATTTTGATGGCTACTGAAGAGCAGTGAGCAGACATGGGTGGAACATCCCAAGAGGCATCAGGGAAATCCAGCAGAGGTTCCTGGGCAGCAGGGACCTTGCTGAGACTGGAGAAGGACCAAGATGGAGCTGAGCCGGGCCAGGGATGGGTAGAGATGCATTTTCTAGGAATGAGGATGGCACTGAAGCCGTGGGGCCGCGTCCCTCATGCTGTCCTCTGGGGCAAGGGACAGATGAAGGACAGAGGTTCCAGTTTCCATATCCTGTCTCTAATGTAGCTCTTACACAGGCTGAGCAGGCTTCATTTGCCCAGTGATACACACAGGCACTTCTGTCTTCCATAGCTCTGACCTCAGACTAATGGACTAGCATTGGCCCATCAGCTAGAGCTGGAAGTGACCCATGTCACTTCTGTATCAAAAGCATGAGTGCTCTCTGTACCCTGTCTTCCCATGCCAGAGTAATTGTCCACAATGTCCAACTTCAGGGAGTCTGGATCCCTGAGACACTGGGTAGTCTCATCCTCCCTCCAGTGACCACGGAACATGGCTGGGTGATGAACATTACTGAATGTGGTCACGGAATCTGGGACTGGTTGGATGTGACTTGCAGATCAGGTGCAACCCCCCCCCCCCGCCAGCAGCAGCATCCCCATGCCCACCGCTCCTGGGGTAAGTAGAGCAGGGCAGAGAGCGTAACTGAAGGTTGAACTGACTGGGACTTCACAGAGCACAAGGATCAACAAACACCTCTGGGCCTGCTGCCCGGTGAGCTGAGCTGCCCGGGTACATGTGCTGCCGTGACTCAAGATGAGACGCCAGAGCCTGCGGAAAGGCGACAGTGACAGGTAGGAGTAGGCAGAGAGAAGGCAGGGAACAGCAGTGGTTCCTCCGGGCACTGGACCTGTCTCCAGAAGGAGTGAGGCAGGAGAGTAGACTGGGCCCCAAGGCTGAAACAGCCTCCTCACTGAGTTGACCTCCTGCCAGGCACTCCTGGTCACATGACTTAATAGCCCATAATAAAGTTGGGTGTGGTTGTGAACCCCTTTAATTCCAGCACTTGGGAGGATTGCCATAAGTCTGAGGCCAGCCTGAGCTTCCTAGTCAGTGTCTCAAACAAACATAAATAAAAATATAACACACATACAAATACATACACAAATACAAAAATATACATGAACACACGCATGCAAACACCCACACACACAATCCCCCAACTTTTAACACACACTTAAATATATATAAAACTCACAAACTCAAGCACACACACACACAAGCACAGGCACACACAAACTCAAGCACACACAAAGACACACACAGTGAGAACAGTCTCTTTCCAGGTTGACTCCATCATCTCTCTACTGCCCTCATTCTCCAGAACTGTCCCCAACTCCCTGTTTGACTGAAACCAAGGCCTGTGTGAGTTCCTCCAGCTGAAACACCCTTCAAACTTGACCTGAGCCTCTGTCCAGCCCCGACATGCTGGAGGCTGTCTTCTCCTTATGTCCCTTGCCTCTCTGACGTGGAGACAAGGGACTGTCCTTTCCCCACAGTCCTGCATGAATGCAGGACTCTTGCTGTGGGTGGGAGCTGCTGGGGAAGGTTCTAAGATGACTCTGTGTGTATGTATGGAGTGTGTGTGCATGTGGTGTGTGTGTGGTGTGTGAGTGTGTGTGTGGTATGTGTGAGTGGGTGTGTGATGTGTGAGAGTGTGTGATATGTGAGAGTATGTGTGTGTATGGTATGTGTACATATAGTGTGTGTGTCTGTATGTGAGGCAGGGTCTTTCTATACAGCCCTGGCTGTCCTGGAATTTACTCTGTAGATCAGGTTGGCCTCGAACTCACAGAGATCTATCTGCCTCTGCGTCCTGAGTGCTGGGATTTAAGACCTGTGCCACCATGTCTAGCTAAGATGATTTTTGAACTGAGGTTTCCTAGGGTGGGGAGGACAGAGAGGGAAATGCATCAGCGCTGAGGTGCTGACCCTGATTAGAACCCTGCTTTTCTTTTTTTTAAATATTTATTTATTATGTATACAATGTTCTGTCTGTATATATGCCTGATGGCCAGAAGAGGACACCAGACCTCATTACAGATGGTTGTGAGCCACCATGTGGTTGCTGGGAATTGAACTCAGAACCTTTGGAAGAGCAGGCAATGCTCTTAACCACTGAGCCATCTCTCCAGCCTGAGCCCTGCTTTTCTTTCTTTCCCTGCCTGGTCTCCCATCAGTCTCTGCATCCCTCTCTAGCTAAGGCCAGGCGTGGGCTCAACCTTCTCATGTTTGTCAAC